TTCAGTATTTATTTCCAAAAGATAAGGACTCTTTCTTTAAGCATAACAAAAATACCCCGTTATCACACCTACGATAATTAGCAAGAATCCCTTACTATCTATCCTTAATTAGCCAGTCCTTGTTCAGATTTCCCCTAATGTCTCATACTTTTTAACAGTTAGAGTTGAGAGTACAAACAATTGGTTAATATATCTAGTTTTTTTTTTTGGCCATGCTGCACGGCATGCTGGGTCTTAGTTCCCTGACCAGGGATCGAACCCGGGGCCACAGCAGTGAAAGCACAGAATTCTAACCACTGGACCACTAGGGAACACCCTATATCTCTTAAATCTCTTTGAATCTATAGTTCCCCCCTCTCTTTTTAATTTTTCTTACACTTTATACCTAGGGGGGAAAAATACATTGTTTGCAATTTTTAAGACTCATTTTGAAATGGTGAGGAACTTCCTTGTCAGCTTGTGTCAGGTCAGGGTAACTTCTCTCCTGATCACCCTCTGAAGCAATCCCCAGCTCTCTCCTTAACGTTCAGGCCCCTAGCTTTCTCCTGGGCTGTAGCAGGAAACAAAACGAAAAATGTGATAAATCATTTACACCATAAATTCAGTCAGTAGTTCCTCCTCCCTTCCAGAGAGGAAATTTTGAAATAGTTTGGTAGAGAAAGGAACTCTGAGACTCAAACAGTGACGTTGAAGAGGTCACTGTAGGGACTTCCTGGTGGTCCAGTGGTTAGGACTCCGTGCTTCCACTGCCGAAGGCCTGGGTTCAATCCCTGGTTGGGGAACTAAGATCCCACAGGCTGCTCAGTGTAAGTAAGTAAGTAAGTAAGTAAGTAAATAAATAAATAAAGGACTCTGTCAAAAAAAAAAAAGAAAAAGAGAAGGTCACTGTAATGCATGGAGTGGTTACCCCTCAAAAAAAAAGATATGTCCACATCCTAACCCCCCAAAACTGTGAATATGACCTTATTTGGAAAAAGAGTCTTTGCAGTATTTAAGTTAGTGATCCTGAGACCATTCTGGATTATCTGGGCCCTAAATCCAATGACAAGTGTCCATAGAAGAGGTACACAGAGGAGAAGGCTATGTGACCATGGAAACAGAGATTGGAGTGATGTAGCCACAAGCCGAGGACCGCCAACAGTCCCCAGAAGCTGGAAGAGGCAAGGAACAAACTCTTCCCTAGAGCTTCTGGAGAGAGCACAGCGCTACTGACACCTTCATTTCAGAGTTCTAGTTTCCAGAACTGTGAGAGAATACAGTTCTGTTGCTTTAAGCCACCAAGCTTGTGCTAATTTGTTCTAGCAGCCTCGGGAAGATAACACAGTCACATACCAGGTCTCTGATCGGGAAAGGCGTTTTGGAGAAGCAGAGGCCCTGGATTTCTACCTATGACATAATAAGAAATATACATGTTGGTCTCTGCCCCTGGTTCCCGACACAGAACTCCTAAATCCCTTGGAATTTCCGGGGTGATAGGATTGTCTCGTGTTCTAATGAGGTGACTTTTTTTTTTTGCCATGCCTCGAAGCATGTGGTGGGATCTAGTTCCCCGACCAGGGATCGAACCCAAGCCCCCAGCAGTGGAAGCTCAGAGTCCTGACCACTGGACCGTCAGGGAAGTCCCATCCAATGAGGTGACTCTTAATGGACTGTTGGATGGGGGCTGGTTACCAGGAAGACCGAGCCATGATTAGAGGCTTGGAATTTTAGCCCTAGCCCCCGTTCTCCAGAGAAAGGAGAGGGGCTGGAAATGGAGTTAATGAGCGACCGTGCTTACATGACGAAGCCTCCACAAAAAGCCCAGTTCTATGAGGTTTGGGGAGCTTCTGGGTTGGTGAACACATTCATGAACCAGGAGGTCCCCAGCCCCATGGGGACAAAAGCTCCTGCACTCAAAACCCTTCCAAACCTCACCCTACATACCTTTCACCTGGCTGTTCTGTCTCTTTATCACATCCTTCATTATATAATAAACTGGTAAACATAACTGTTTCCCTGAGTTCTGTGAGCTGTTCTAGCATATGCTCGAATCTGAGGAGGGGTGTCATGGGAACCTCGAATTGCAGCCATGTCGGACATAAGTTGTAGGTATCTAGGAGACCCACAACTTGCAATTAGCATCCAAAGTCGGGGGCAGTCTCATGGGACCGAACCTTTAACCTGTGAGGTCTGGGCTAACTCTGGTTAGTGTCAGAATTGAATCAAACTGTAGGACACCCAGTTGGTGTCACAGAGAATCATGTGGCGTGGGGGAAAAAAAAAATCCCACACACCTGACATTGGAAGTGTTATGATTGTGGCCGAGGTGCAGGAGTGAAAGAGACACACCGGGAGGAGTGTGCGTTCCTAACACACCGTCACACAGACACTCCCCCCGCTTGCCACCTGCCGGGCGGTCCCGCAGGGAATGTCCACTGCCTGCCCCTGTCACGTACGGTGTCATGTTATCTCACAAAGCATCGGGGGAGGTGGCCCGGCGGGGTCCAAGAGCTCCAAGCTCATACCAGATCAGCCTGGCAGGTGTGGTCGCAGGTCCTTTCAACCTGCCCTTCCTGTGTCTCCTCAGAGCCAGGAGAATAAGTAAACTACAGAGGTCTGTTGGGAGTCATTCGTCCACTAGTTCATACGTTTACTCAAGACATACTTCTTGTGCATCCCTTTGGTGCCAGGCTACCATCTGGGCTTGCAGAGCTGAATCAGACCCAGCACTAGGCTTCGTGGAGACAAGGGGCTGGGGGAAGACACACAGGTAAACTGTTACAGTCCTGCGTGGTCAGCGTGTGAGTGGCAGATAGGGGCAGAGAAAAGGTTTAACCCAGACTAGAGAGGGAGAAGCACAGGAGGCTTGGGGGCTGGAGGAAGAGGTATCCCCTGGGCTCCCTGTATGGTAGCCACAAACCACATGTAGCTTTTATAATTTAAACTAATTAAAATTAAATAATATTGAAAATTCAGTGCCCATTAGCCCCAATTTCAAGTGCTCAAGAGCTACACGTATATTACAGAACATTTCCATCATTATATTTAGAAAATTCTAGTGGAAGTTGCTGAAGCCGACAAAAGGGGAGGTATCTAGCACTAGGAAGGAAGGGAAATGTGTCCCCAGCGGCCCCTATAAGACAGCCTTCGGACACTAAACACTGCTACGTCTCCTGTTGGACATTGAGGCCAGTTCCTATGGTGTCTTGAATTCCCTGCTAAGGAAAACAGGGAAGCATGGGAGCATTCAGCTGGGTTGGTGGGTGGCAGGTGACATCATCAGGTTTGAGTTCTAGGAGATGGGTTGGAGGAGGAACACGACAGGAGGCAGGAGGACCAATCAGGAGGTGGTTGTTTCCTCTAGAAACTTGGACCAGCCGAAGTGGTAGCAGTGTGGGGACTTTCCCAGTGGCCCAGTGGGTAAGCCTCTGGGCTCCCAATGCAGCGGGCCCGGGGTTCGATCCCTGGTCGGGGAACGAGATCCCGCATGCATGCCGCAACTAAGAGTCCACATGCTGCAACAGCCTAAATAAATAAATAAATATTTGAAAAAGTGGTAGTAGTGTGTGTGGAGAGAGATTTAGGGCGTACGATCTGTAGATGGGGATGTGGCCAGCAAGGAAGAGGGAACCAAGCTACGGCTTCAGCTACTTGATGGGTGGTGCTAACAGTTCCCTTTGTCTGATGTGAGCTTTATTTTCAAAGTGTTGGTTCTCAAGGGCTTCAGTTATCTGGGACACCACACTCCTTGATAACATTGCCCCTATGGCTCACCATGGAACACACTAGGAAGAGAAGTCATGGGCTCTGACCCTGCAGAATTCCCAGGTGACAGCAGTGGGCAGTACTGGGGCTCCAGGGTAGGCAGAAGAAGCGGAGGGGGACACATATTAAAAGCCTGTTGCTTTTCCATCTCCTGCCTCCGATCCTCTACAACGTCACTCACTCAAAAATGGTTCCTCCAGGGCGTCCCTGGTGGCGCAGTGGTTAAGAGTCCGCCTGCTAATGCAGGGGACACGGGTTTGAGCCCTGGTCCGGGAAGATCCCACATGCCAAGGAGCAACTAAGCCCGTGTGCCACAACTACTGAGCCTGCGTGACACAACTACTGAAGCTCACGTGCCTAGAGCCTGTGCTCTGCAACGAGAGAAGCCACCGCAATGAGAAGCCCGCACACCACAAGGAAGAGTAGCCCCTGCTCGCCGCAACTAGAGAAAAGCCCGCACGCAACAACAAAGAGCCAACACAGCCAAAAATAAATAAATTAAATAAGTTAAAAAAAAAAAAGTTTCCTCCATGAGAACCTGCTGTATAAAAAGAAGAAGAAAAAAAAGGTTCCCCCTGCCACTGAATTCAAGGTCCTCTGCAAAACAGCCCCACTCAACGTGACCTGTTTTATTCCTTATGATTCTGCAACATAGACTCCAAATTCCAGACTCCTCGAATGTTCCTCAGATGCCCCCTCCACCTTACTTTTTCCATGCTGCTCATTTTCCGGAATGTCTGTTCCTTCTATTTCTGCCCCTAGAAATTTTAACAACTCTCCCTCATCCCCCCCACTCACAAAACTCCAATAAACCAGCTGTATTTTTTTCGAACACATATTAAAATAAAGTCATAGCTATAAAGTCAAAGTCCATATGGATATTACTCTCCATCATCTAAAATCATCTCACGTATCATCTATGGCGTGTCTACCACATTGTGGAAAATATTGCCTTAAACCGCTTATTCAATTTGCTTTTCCTTTTTTGTTATTTATGCACTTGTCTTATTTCTCCTAGTAAACACTCAGCCCCAGACAGCAGATAACATCTTCCTCATTTTGGGGATCCTGAAGCATCTAGATAACGTACCTCAGAGGTTCATTGAGTAAGCATTTTTTTTAATCAATAAAGCCTCTATTTTAAATTAATTAATTAATTTATTTATGGCCGTGCTGCATGGCATGTGGGATATTAGTTCCCCAACCAGGGATCGAACCCGCGTCCCCTGCAGTGGAAGCGTGGAGTCTTTACCACTGGACCGCCAGGGAAGTCCCAAGCCTCTATTTTATATCAGGCATTGTAATTGATAGCTAGAAGTAAAAATAAGAACAGTAATGAAATTTGGCTTAAAGAAAATTTAAGACTTTTTTTTAGAGCAGTTTTAAGTTCACAGCTAAATTGAGGGGAAGACACAGAGATTTCCCACAAACCCTCCACATTCACAGCCTCCCCTATTATCAGCAGTAGACTTTCAGAGAGAGAGAAACCTATCTTTTCTTCCTCAATTCCCTGCTAACTCTAGAGGGAGGAAGAGAGAGGGAGTGGAAGGTGATTCGACAAAACAGAAAGGATGTGGAAAAAAAAGGCAAGTGTTAGTCATTCGGGAAAAGGGAAACCCTTGTGTTAGTGTTTACAAGAATCTCGATGGTATCTGCTGACCCAGAAGGAAGAATCTTTTCCATTTGTTGAAAAATCCAGCCTGACCATATTGAGGTAGTACTCAGGGTCACCCACCCAGCTTCATTTTGGGGCATTCCAGCCTACGGTAGTTTCCCCTCCATCAGTTAGCATCTTCTTATACAATCACAAAGGTCCACAGAGTGAAAGTGGAGGATATGTGCTCTCAGTAAAAGTAGGAGTTAATCATCAGATCCTTCTTCTAGGCCCCTACTGTCAAGAACATGGACTTCATCTCCAAGGACCTCTTGGATTGGTGAGGGAGCTAAATGTAGCTGTTTGGTGGATACATTTATTTGTAACAAGTTCGGAGACTCACAGGTAGGGTGTGAGGAGGAAAGTGACAGGAGAATGACACTGGAAAATTAGTTTGGGAACCATCTGTGAAGGGCCTTGTAGACCAACCCAAGGAACTTGACCTTTAACCTGGAGCAGAGGTGACAAACTTAAAATCCCACAGAGACAAGGCATGTCGATGAGTGAAGCTGACCAGGTAACAGGGAGGGGTGAGGACTGTGGCAAAATGGGGATTCTTGCCTTGTCTCAAGGGTGCAGCTACTCTCAGCTTCAGCAAACTGTTACCAGGCAGGAATGGTTGGCCCAGTGTGACCAGATCTTCCAGTTTCCAAGAGAGGCTGGAAATCCCGGTGTGTTTTTGTTTTGTTTTGTTTTGTTTAATTAAAAAATATATTTTTTTATTTTTCTGCCATGCTGTGTGGCACATGAGATCTTAGTTACCCGACCAGGGATCGAACCCAGGCGCCTTGCAGCAGAACCGCAGTCTTAACCCCTGGACCTCCAGGGAAGTCCCTGGAAATCCAGGTTTTTATATGACAGTCCTAGGTTTTTAAAACATATGGGTCAAGTCAAACTGGTTCTCAAACCAGATACGGCTCACAGGCCACACAGCTATCACCTTGGCAGACTGAAGGGTTTTAAGGGAAAAAAAAAAAGATATGATCATATCTGTGCTTTAGAAAAAAATCACACTGTAGAGTGAGAGAGGAATTACAGAAAATAGACTAGAAGCAAGGAGACTCAACTGTTTCAACAGGAGGGAGGTGACAATGATCCGTGCTAGGGTGGGGACAGAGGGGAAGGTTGTTGGGATGACTTGGAGTCCAGGATTCAGGGGGAAGAATTTAGCTTTCACCAGCATCTGGAAGAAGGCACATTCCTCCTCTCAGTGCACGCCCTCCCCTCACCCTTTCCTAAACTGAAAGCTGAAAGGACAGACAGATCATCTCTAAAGCCAAAGGACAGGGAAGTTTAGCAAAGACTCTGGTCTTGGGAGCAGACTAATTTTACTAATGATCGTTTTTGAGATAAACTCCTTGACCAACTGCCCCAACTCTCATTCTCCCCCACCAATGGGCTCAGCACGTAATTAAAATTTAAAACTTATAGGGACTTCCCTGGCCGTCCAGTGGTTAATACTCAGCGCTTCCAACGCAGGGGGCACGGGTTTGATCCCTGGCTGGGGAGCTGAGATCCCACATGCCGTGCAGCCAAAAAAGAAAACAAACAAAAAAACCATACAGATCATGGCACTCTGCTCTTTGGAGCGGTGGAATTTGGGAAGCTCAGAGCCAAATCTTCTTTTGCTGACAGCAGAGGGAGGACCTGGCTCCCAAAGAGGCTGTTTCGTGAACACGGACGTGAGAGGTGGCTTCAGACCCATTTCATGGTCTTGGTGGTGGTACAACTGGTCACTTGGCTCCAAGGAAGAATGCAAAGGGTAGGAAGGTGCAAGTGGGAGAGAGGAATGGCGACTCACTTCAGAGAATTTTTCTAACAGCCAGCAAGAGCTATATTAAGGATTTTTTTCCTCCGCAGATCCTTCTGATTTTGAAGTCTGGCATAGGAAGTGGCCCTGAGGAGATGCAGAGCTAAGCCTCCCCTCCCTGGCACGGCCCGGGAGCGCCCCACAGGATAAGGGAGAGGACGGCAGTCAGGCAAAGGTTAGGGAGGAAAGCGCAGGCAGAGACCCAGGACGGCTCCAGGAAATGTTTGTGTTTCTCCACCGGGAGGGAGGACAAATAAGCTGTTTTTTCACTCCTCCTGGGCAGCTTTGCTTATTCTCCAGCTAAGAGAGAGGCTGAAAATAAAAATCATTCTGGGACAGGACTCAACGACTCCTCTCCAGCACGAATCTCCTCGGACCTGCCAGCTGCTTCCCAGAAACGACAACTGCGTGAAGTGACCCGCGTTTCCAAGCCCTGGGGTGCTACATGCTTCAGCTCTCAGGGAGACAGGCAGCTTGTGACCCGGGCTCCAGAGAAAGGAACCCCTACCTCGAGTCTCCCATTTCCTGGCCGAAGTTTCTGTTCTCCGTGGAGTGGCTGCATCCATGCCCACGTGTGGTACCTGTGTCCCAGGGTGAAGAAGTTGGAAACGCAGCAGCTGGAGCATTCAGGTAAGCATCTGTGTTTTGGGGGGAACTCCACAGCCCAACACACAGAACACTGGTCCTCTGTCCACCATGGAAAACAGGTCGTGCTGCCTCATCCAGTGGGACCCCATCTCCCAGGTGATGCCGCCGCTGCTGATCCTGGCCTTTGTGCTGGGCGCCCTGGGCAACGGCATCGCCCTGTGTGGTTTCTGCTTTCACATGAAGACCTGGAAGCCGAGTACTATTTACCTTTTCAACTTGGCTGTGGCCGACTTCCTTCTCATGATCTGCCTGCCCTTTCGGACTGACTACTACCGCAGACACAGGCAATGGGTCTTTAAGGACATCCCTTGTCGGGTGGCACTCTTCATGCTGGCCACGAACAGGGCTGGGAGCATCGTCTTCCTCACGGTGGTGGCTGTGGACAGGTATTTTAAAGTGGTCCACCCCCACCATACGGTGAATGCCATCTCCAACCAGACTGCAGTTGGCATCATCTGTGCCCTGTGGACCATGGTCATCTTGGGGACTCTGTATCTTTTGACGGAGAACCATCTGTGTGTGCAAGAGGAGATCACAACTTGTGAAAGCTTCATCATGGAGTCGGCCAACGGCTGGCACGACGTCATGTTCCAGCTGGAATTCTTCCTGCCCCTCAGCATCATCTTGTTCTGCTCCTTCAAGATCATTTGGAGTCTGAAGCGGAGGCAGCACCTGGCCAGGCAGACTCGGATGAAGAAGGCTACCCGGTTCATCATGGTGGTGGCGGTTGTGTTCATCACCTGCTACCTGCCCAGCGTGTCAGCCAGACTGTATTTCCTCTGGACAGTGCCTACCAGCGCCTGCGATCCCTCTGTCCACGTAGCCCTCCACGTCACCCTCAGCTTCACCTACGTGAACAGCATGCTGGACCCCCTGGTGTACTATTTTTCAAGTCCCTCGTTCCCCAAATTCTACTCCAAGCTCAAAATCCACAGTTTGAGACCTAAGCGTCTAGGACACTCCCAGAGGCCAGAAGAGATGTCCATTTCAAACCTTTGTCGCAAGAGTTGCATTGGTGTGGCAAATAGCTTCCAAAGCCAATCCGACGTGCAGTGAGATCTCCAAATGTGATGGATGGTACCAGAACAGACAGATGGACAAAATCAAGGAAGACCCATGGGCGACTTAGAAATAATTCATGCTGAGAGGTGGAGAGCTTTGAAAATGCCATTCTTTCTTAGCTGTATCCTCCTCACTCTGTTAGATACGAAATTCAGATCACTATGTCTTTTTGGAAGGTTCCAGTTGAGAAGTGAGTCGGTTGCATTTATATGATTTGATTCCAGTGACAGGGGCGTGTGTGTGTGTGTGTGTGTTTGTGTGTGTGTGTGTGTGTGTGTGTGTGTTGGGTGGTGGGTTGGGAAGAGTTTGGCTCCTGTGTATTTTTAAATGGCTGAGTTAATAGGTACTAATGTTTAAACCCATCATGTTCTCTCTCTGGGGGAGTTAGTGAATTTAATAGCCTATCCTCTGACCTTAAATTCTTACTTGTCTTGGAAAATAGAAACTAGTGTAAGTCAATATTTTTATTTCAGGCAGAGTGAGGCCCTTTAGACTGGGAAGTCTCGACCCCAATGATTTTCATCTTCCTGGGGCTCCTCTGTACTTTTCTGACTTCTCAGGAACCCAAGAAAAATGACAGCCAAACAATCTGTTCCCACCTTCTTGGAGCTCCACGTTTATCTGCAAGTCTTTGCATTTCAAAGAAAGTACTGAAGGATATGTTTACCTGCCCTGAATTTTCCAGTGGGAGCTGAGTGCTTGAAAAAATCCCGTTAGCCTTTGGGAAGTGCTGAATGTGGCGTAATTGCTTTGGCTGCTTGTTATGTGACTATGAGTTTGAATTATTCAATCACTCATTTTCCACGTATTTCCTGAATTAATATTCTGTGCCAGGTACTGTGTTAATGTCCCTTTTACCTGGACGGTCCTTAGTCAACTTGTGTGTGGCGGGGTGGGAGGCGTGTGTGTAGCAAGCAGACAGAAGTTAACGAAGTTCACCCTTTCAATGATTATAGTTTCTAGACCTGTTCTCTGCAAACACCAGTGTTTTCCTCTTATTGTAGGATTCCATACAAACATGAAAGGGAGGAAAGGGTAGTATCCCTTACACACATGAATTTCCCAAATATGTCCATGGGACCCTCAAAAGTAGGTGATTGTATGAGTGACATGCTGCCCCTGCCCTAGATTAGGGGGAAAGATTCCAAGCCAACCTTAGCTCCGTTCTCAAGCCACAAAGTGGTGAAAGTGTTCCCGGCTCCTTTATTTACACTTTCTCCAATTCCCAGGGGACTCTGCAGTTAAGGCCCTTACCAGTTTTTCATCCTTTAGCTTTGAAACATCCCACTAGGCTGTTCCTATTAATTCCTTCTTCAGGGGCACTGCACAGCCCAGGGATGGGCTGTACAAAGCTTAAATCACAGCTCAACTGCTTACAATGTGTGACCTCGGGACAGATTTTTTTTCCTTTGGCCGCACCACCGCGGCATGCGGAATCTTAGTTCTCTGACCGGAGATCAAACCCGTGCCCCCTGCAGTGGAAGCTCGGAGACCTAACCACGGGACCACTAGGGAATTCCCTGGGGGAAGATTTTTACCTAACCACGTTTAGTTTCAATTTCCTTATCTGTCAAATAGGGGTAACAATAACGTTGACATCAGGTCATTGGGTGGATTCACTGAATGTAGGATCCTGAAGCACAGGGACTTTGTTTACTATCATATACCCAGAGCCTAGAGGCATGCCTGCACACAGTAGGTGCTCAGTAAATATTTGAATGAATGAATAAGTGCATGTAAAACGTTAAGCGCAGTGTCTGGCAGTAAGTGCATAATATTATGATGTATTATGTTAACGCACTCTACATATAAAGAAACTGAGGCACAGAAGCAATTTCCCCCGGGGTTCAGAGCCCTGTAGGTAGCTGCTCTGTTGTGACTACTTGAGTTCTCTGGCTCCCTAGCTTCCAGGGGAGAAGTGAAAGCAAGGATTCTTATCAGCATCAAAGAACCATATATCCTCTTGATAGAAATCTGTGAAAACCCCACACTTCTGCTTTAAATTCCATTCTTAGTTCATTCTTTCCTGGGCTGCCACCTTGTTGCTTCATCTTAATAAAAACAGATTCCAAAAGAAAGTCCGCGTCCTGTGTGTGATCCTGTGTTAAAAGATTCATGAGGGGCTAAAGACGCAGATGTAAAGAATGAACTTGAGGACGTGGGGAGGGGGAAGGGTAAGCTGGGACAAAGTGAGAGAGTGGCATGTACTTACATATACTACCAAATGTAAAATCGATAGCTAGTGGGAAGCAGCCACATAGCACAGGGAGATCAGCTCGGTGCTTTGTGACCACCCAGAGGGGTGGGATAGGGAGGGCGGGAGGGAGACTGCAAGAGGGAGGAGATACGGGGATATATGTATATGTATAGCTGATTCACTATGTTATAAAGCAGAAACTAATACACCATTGTAAAGCAATTATACTCCAATAAAGATGTTAATTAAAAAAAAAAAAAAACATTCATGAGACTTTACCCGCCAAGGAAAGAAATCCAAAAAAATCCAGAAGCACACAGTAGGCTGAGGTTCTCACTAAAAAACAGCAAAAATAAACGAAAACAAAAATCAAATCCCCAACTGAAACAAGAGGGAAGTGGGCAGGGCACAACCTTTGAAAGAATGACATAGCCCAAGGACATGACATAAACTGATTAGAACCAAATGGGTCCAAGATGGCGGGCAAGTCAACTTCCGCTAGACCTTGAGCCTCAGGACACGCTCACTGTAACACATCAGCCAGCTAAATGACACACCAACAGGTGCCACGACAGTTCCAGGACCACCAGAAGAATCAAAAAGTGGGCGGTGGCCCAATTCCTGGAAATCCCTGCCCCTTCCCAAAATAGCTGGAATACTCCTCCCCTCATTAACCTATGAAATTACCCACCCCTATAAAAACTGACAACCCCATACTCCGTTGACTTTCTCACCTTCTGAGATGGCCCACACTCTGTCTGCGGAGTGTGTTTCTCTCTAAATAAATCCACTTCCTACCCATCACTTTGTCTCTCACTGAATTCTTTCTGTGATGAGACATCATCAAGAACCTGAACTTCATTAAGTCCTGAAGCCAGGTGTGTGATCTCAGTTGGAAGACTGTGGGTTTTGGCCAGGTTTGGATCCCGGCACAGGGGTTCATGTCCCAATCTGAGGTGCACCGTTTCACAACCACAGTCTTGACTCTGGTTTTGCTTCTCTTTTTTAAAATGCATAGAATGTGATGAAACAAATGTTATCAAGAAGTGTTCGGAATTGTAAGGAACAGTCATATAGCTTTGTTGACAAAGCTTTGTTTAAACTACCTGGAATAGGAAAATGTCATCGATTTAAAAGAAATATTGTGTCCTCTGACTTATAGGGTCTTTCAGGAAAGTCACATAAAAGCGAGAAGGGATAGTAGACCATTATTGTTCAGGAACTGTATGGAGAAAATAAGAGGTACCTTTTATTGGTGCTGACAACATAAACATTTAGGTTCTGGTCTATTCTCAGAATGGGCTTCCTTACCCTTTCCGACAACCGACATGGTTAAGATGGTGTCTGAGGTCACCAGTGTGCAGGGGCTGCTTGGATGGGACTGGAACTCTGGGCACAAGGGGTTGAGCCATTTATTCCCTAGCAAGGTGGGGAAGTGGCCACACTGCAATGCACAGTCTCAGCCTGCTGCCTTCTGGGCCTTTGAATCCACAGAGGTTTCCAATATTACTCAAGGCTCCATCATCCCAGTGAGTGCATAAATGGCTTCAGGATCAGCTAATATTGATAATTTGCAGGGCCCAGTTCAAAGTGAAAATGCAAGGTCCCTCATTCAGAAAGAATTGAGAATTTCAAGATGGCGACAGCAGGGCGTTAAACTAAACACAGGACCCTTTGAACTCATCCATGAAGCTGGGGCCATACATTTTATGTGTAGAGAGGTTGAGATAGAGCAAAATGAATAGATGGGCTCACATGTGGGCTTACTCTATACTCAGCTTCCAGTGATGATAGAGTTGCAGTGAGAAGGGGGTCAATATTTTCTTCCTTGTAAAGATTCATTCATTCATTCATTCCCTCTTTCAAGGAACATTTATTAGGCACCAGCTCTGTACCAGGCACAGTAAAAACACAAAAAACATAGCCTCTCACCCCATGGGTTCCATTTCAGAAACCAAGGAAAAAGTAAATTTACCATTCAGGGCAACTGCAGTGAAAGTGATAAACTTAGGGTTTACAGGAGAACCCGGGGCCCTTAATCCTGGCTTCGGGGCTGAGGGAAGGCTTCTCACAGGAAGTGCCTTGTGAACTTAGCCCTGAAGGATGGAGAAGAGGCAACCAGATTGAAACCTAACGGGACCCTATAGGGCTCCCAGGTGTGGAGGCCTTTTTGTCCCCCATTTCTTATAGGCAAGACTCCAGCCTCCATGACCTTCCCTGAGTTCCAAAGGGCAGATTAGAACACTTGCTAATCAAGCGGGGAGCTGCCAGGAAACCACTTGAGGCAAGATTAAAGGGACTAGAAAAACTCATCAAGATTAGGAGACCAAGGGCTTCCCTGGTGGCGCAGTGGTTAAGAATCCTGCTACCAGTGCAGTGGACATGGGTTAGAGCCCTGGTCTGGGAAGATCCCACATGCCACGGAGCAGCTAAGCCCGTGCACCACCACTACTGAGCCTGTGCTCTAGAGCCTGCGAGCCACAACTGTTGAGCCTGAGTGCCACAACTACTGAAGCCCGCGCACCTAGAGCCCGTGCTCTGCAACAAGAGAAGCCACCCAATGAGAAGCCAGCGAACCGCAACTAAGAGTAGCCCCCGCTTGCGCAACTAGAGAAAAGCCTGTGCACAGCAACAAAGACCCAAGACAGCCAAAAATAAAAATAAAAATAAATAAAAAGATTAGGAGACCACCTGACATCCTGCACACACCCTAATCTTGTCAGCAACCCCACCCTTTTGAAACTTTGCAGAATAAAGCAGAATGCAAGACTGTTACTGTCTTGATCCTTATCACATACCCCGACTATAAGACCCCTCCCTATTCCCCAGGGAAGGGGGGCAGTTCTTGAGGCGCTAGCCTACTGTGTTCCCTCTTTGCCTGGCAAAGAAATAAAGCCACTCTTTCTTTCTCCTCCATAACTCTGTCTCTGTATTTCTGTTCGGCATCGGTGCACAGAGAGTCAAGATTTCGGCATCAAGATGACTCAGTGGGGAAAGGTGTTCCAGTTAGAGAGGAGAGAGAATGAGAACACAGATTGTTTGGGAACCGCAGGAAGATCAATGGGACAGGAACGAAAAGTCCAGGCTGGGCTACAACAACCTGGTAAGAGGTGAAGCCCTGAGATCCACCCAGGTGAGAAGGGTCTGCTCACAATCTTTCTTGATAGAAGATTTGTGAATAGTCTTGCAGACCCCTTTCTTTTTAAACAGGAATTACATTTATTTAATCACAGAGGCATACATGTTTTTGTTCAAAACTCAAGGAACACACAAGTATGTAAAGTAAGCAGTTAGTCTTCCTTTCATTCCTCCATCTCATTTTCTAGAGGTGATGACTTTTTTTTTTTTCGGCCATGCCCATGTGGCACGCAGGGAGGGATCTTTGTTCCCAGACCAGGGATTGAACCCCTGCACCCTGCAGTGGAAGTGCGGAGTCTTAACCACTGGACCACCAGGGAAGTCCCGAGGTGATAACTTTTAACATTTGGGCTATATACACTCTTGCACAAAACTAATGAATCTTTAGTTTTGCTAAAGCAACATAGATAGATAGATAGACAGATAGATAGATAATTTTGCAAGGTGCTCTTATCAGGAATATCTTCCTATATCAGAACAGAGATTAAGCTCCTTGTTTTTAATTATATTTCATTGTATAAATGGACCACATGTAGTTTATTTAACCAATGGCCTTTTAACAGACATTTAAAGTTATTTCCAATTTTCCTCTATTGCTGCCATCCTATGGTGAACATCCTATTCTGAATGATATATCTTTGGGTAAATGTGCCAGAGGTTTCAGAAGATAGATTCTTAGACATGGAATTGTTGAGTCAAAGGACAGGCATATTGAGTGAGGTAGTGTGCAGAGCGGCTGAGAGAATAGCCCCTGGAGCCACACCGTGTGGGTTCAAATCCTATCTCCTTTCCTTACTAGCTGTGTGACCTCGCGCAAGTTACTTAACCTCTCACTGCTTTGTTTTTCTTGTCTGTAAAAGAATAATACCTATCCCTTAAGGATGTTCTAAGCACTAAACAAGTTTAGCTTATAAAGCACCTACACTAGTGCCCAAATGGAGTAGCTCTATTTCTATTAACCCTTATTATTATCTTGTATTAGTTCTTATTATATTAGCTTTTATTATAACCTTGATCGATACCACCAAATCACCCAACAAAAAGGCTGAACCAACTTAGACTCCCACCGACAGTGTATGAGAAATACTTCTTCCGTGCCCTTGCCAGCAGGCCCTTGTTCGGTTGCTTTGTTTCATAAGCGTTTTTCTCCTTCTTTTTCAAAAACGAAACAAAAACAAAAGCCTTTACTCCTTTAAAGTGGTGAAGTCCAATTTATCGGGTTTTTTGCTTGTTTGTGTGTTTGGGGTTGTACGTAGGAAGGCTTTGCCTAAGCCAGGGTCATGACGACTTACTCTCAGGTTTTCTTCTAAGAATTTTATGTCTTACATTTAGGTCTGTAATCCATTCTGAGTTCATTTTTGTGTACAGTTCAAGGAAAGGATCCCACTTCATTCTTATGCCTATTCAGTCATCTAGCAGCATTTATTAAAAAGATGATTCTTTCTCCCATGGATGTGTTTTGGCACCCTTGTTATAAAATCAGCTGACCATAAACGCAAGAGTTTGTTTCTGGACTCTCAGTCCTGCTCTATTGATCTATGTATCTATCCTTATGCCAGAACCACACTGTCTTGATTACTGTAGTTTTTTTTTTTTTAATTTATTTATTATTTATTTATTTTTGGTTGCATTGGGTCTATGTTGCTGTGCACAGGCTTTCTCTACTTGTGACTAGCGGGGGCTACTCTTCGTTGCGGTGCGTGGGCTTCTCATGGCGGTGGCTTCTCTTGTTGTGGAGCACGGGTTCTAGGAGCCCGGGCTTCAGTAGTTGTAGCACGTGGGTTCAGTAGTTGTGGTGCGCGGGCTCAGTAGTTGTGTCACACGGTCTCTGGAGCGCAGGCTAAGTAGTTGTGGCGCACGGGC